TCAAACTTCCAAAATGTCATTTCTGTTTAACAGAGATCAAGTTTCTTGGCCATATTGTGACTACTGATGGTGTAAAGGCAGACCCTGCTAAAACAGAAGCTATTCAGAATTTTCCAGTCCCAACAAATTTAAAGGAACTCCAACGGTTTCTGGGAATGAGTGGGTGGTACCATAGGTACGTTCAAAATTTTTCAGATATTGCCGAACCACTTAATGCTCTAAAGAAGAAAGGAGTTCGTTTTCAGTGGACAGCTGAGTGCCAGGTAGCGTTTGACTGCCTCAAAAGGCATCTTTCCTCACCACCTGTACTTGGACACCCAAATCATGCCCATACATTTGTAGTTTATACTGATGCCAGTTCAACTGGCTTGGGTGCTGTTCTTGCTCAACGACCCTCCACTTTTGGTGCATCTGAGGAGGTGTTGGCGTATGCTAGCCGTACTCTGACATCAGCAGAGAAAAACTATTCTACAACTGAGCGGGAGTGTTTAGCAGTGGTTTGGGCTGTAGAACGGTGGCGGCATTATTTGGAGGGAAAATCCTTCATTGTAGTCACTGATCATGCCTCTCTTCTTTGGGTGTTCAACACTACAAAAACAAATTCCCGACTGATTCGCTGGGCTTTGAGACTACAGGAGTTTGAGTTTATTCTGGAGTATCGTAAGGGGAAGCTTAATAGCGCCCCAGACGCTTTGTCTCGGATTGACGTTCCTGATTCTTTTCCAATGGTAGCTTCCTATGTTCCTAAGCAAAGTACAGAGAGTATGGTGTCACTATTTCCTCTTTGTGATGAGGATATCTGGATTGCACAGCAACAAGATGTAGAAATCCAAAGGATATATCAGAGCTTAGCAGAAGGAAAGCAGAGTGATGAGGGATCTGGCTCTGAGTTTGTCATTTTAGAGGATAAGGTCTATAGGAAGGTGTCTAATCCTACAAAGGGAACTCATTTTCAGATTTATGTTCCACAGACTCTCAGAGAAATTTTGTTGGAGGCATATCACTCCAATCCATTGAGTGGTCATTTTGGGCGTTATAAAACTCAAAAAAGGTTAATGCAAGTTGCCTTTTGGCCTAATATGTGGAGAGATGTATCTGACTTTGTGAAGAACTGTACTAGTTGTCAGCAGAATAAACCAGAGTGTCGTAAGCCTGCTGGAAAACTTCAGCAAACTGAAGTGAAGGAGCCTTGGGAAATGCTTGGTGTGGACCTTATGGGGCCACTGCCTCGTAGTACCCTGGGTAACACTCAATTGTTAGTTGTTGTGGACTATTACAGTCACTGGGTTGAGATGTTTCCTCTTCGCAAAGCTACTGCTGGAGTGATTGCCCAGACACTTAGGAAGGAAGTACTGACTCGATGGGGTGTTCCAAAGTTCCTACTATCTGACAGGGGACCTCAATTTACATCTGAGATTTTGAAGGATCTGTGTAGCAGATGGGGAGTGGTACAAAAATTAACAACAGCATATCATCCCCAAACTAATTTTACGGAACGTGTGAATCAGGTAATTAAAGTCATGATCTCCTCTTATGTGTTTGGTGAGCATAATCGGTGGGATCATTACTTACCAGAGTTGAGATATGCCATCAACTCTGCTGTTCAGGAGAGTACTGGATACTCCCCAGCAGAGTTGTTATTGCACAGAAATCTGAGAGGACCTTTTGAACTTGTGTTAGAGCCTCACCAGACTGGTCTTAGGGTTCTTAAAGACTTGCAGGAAGTGGTAAAAAGAAATGTGCGTAGGGCTAAGGAAAAACAGAAGCGTTTGTATGATGCGAGACGAAGAGATGTGCATTTCACAAGAAATGATAGAGTTTGGATGAGAGCACATCCTCTTTCTAAGGCTTCTCAAGCATTTGCAGCTAAATTCGCAGCTAGATGGATTGGGCCTTATCGAATTGTGGAAAAGCTTGGTCCGGTGAACTACCGGATTGTTCGGGAGGATAATGGGGAAGATTTACGTACAGTTCATGTATGCAATTTAAAACCTGCATTCCCCTCCGCAGGGGAATTAGATCGTAGAGAGAGAGAAAGGGTCCTGAAAATTTTTGTCGAAGAGTCAGAAGATGAGGAATTTCTCGGATTTGAATAGTCCTGAGATCCAGTAATCACTTAACTGATTTCCATATTTATAGATCAGATTATTTGGTGAGTAGAGTTATTGGTATGGAAAGCTGTTGAGTGTCTTTTTATTGCTGCATAATTTTTAGGTCTTAAAAAACCCCTAAAGATTTCTTGTAAGTAACTTATAGATCACAACCTCTTTAAGTTTGACTGATCTTTTTCCATGGGGGGGAGAGTGTGACGATCGTCATTAGAATTTTCCTTATTATTGTATGAGTGACGTCTGATTGGGTTACTGCTGTCAGCTGATGCAACGTTATTTAGAGCGCCTCGGATGGGTTTCTCGCTCTCTCTCTCATTCATTCCTTGTCACGCAGTCAGCATGCAGGTGATTCCGGGTCACTGAGAGGTCATGCTGACTGTGTGTGTGTGTGCGTAGAGAGCGCGCTGCGTAATTGTTGCTTTGAGTCCGTTTTTGTAGCTCAATATGTGTTTTCATGCTGCGTGGTCTTGCTCTAAGGTAGTGGCAGTGTTCTTTGAAGTTGGTCACGGCATCGAAAGTGCGAGTATGTTTTTGATGCGGACGTTGAAGCGGCAACATTTATGAATGGAAGAGTTTATGATTTTGGCGGAGGTTGTATTTGCGATGCATGGTGAACGTATTATGCGCTCGGGTTTGTTTGTGGAGTGAGGCGCGGGTTTATTTTTGTTTTTTGGCGCTCGAGTTGCCTATTTGTTTTGGGTTTTTTTCTTTCTTTTGTTTGAATGTTTGATCACTATCGTGATCGGGATTTGTGTTGCAGTTTTCTGGGCCCAGTAGCATCGACGGGTGATCGGGTAAGCAAATGTTTCTTCTTTGATTTATATTGTTTTGGTTAACTTGTATATGTGTATGTATGTCCAAAAGATTTAATGAGATGGTAGAGTAACCATATGAATGTGCATTGCGTTCACGATTGCTTCAACGTGCACAAATGGAAAATCTACTTTAGCGTATACGAATTGAGGGACATTTCAAGTGCATTGATTACCCGTTTACTTCAGCGTGCACAAATGGAAAATCTACTTTAGCGTATACGAACTGAGAGACATTTCAGAGTGCATTAATTAACCGTTTACTTCACCGTGCACAAATGGAAAATCTACTTTAGCGTATACGAACTGAGAGACATTTCAGAGTGCATTGAGTTCGTGATTGCTTCAACGTGCACAAATGGAAAATCTACTTTAGCGTATTCGAACTAAGAGACATTTCAAGTGCATTGAATGTGCAATTGATTCAGTGTGCACAAATGGAATATCTACTATGTGTAAAGTGTACAACTGAGTTCTATAAGTTCTTGAATGTGTGATTGATTTGATTTGAACTTGAAATATTATGTTTGTGGGAATTTGATTAATATTGATTGTTGTATATTTAGAAGTGGTTTATTTGATTTATTTCTTTATGGTTGGTTGATGTATCACCCGTTGATGGTTTTGTTTGTAAAAGGTAATTAAAAGGTATTGTGCCTGGGCCTGGAAATTTAAGTTTGTTTGGTTTATGGATTTACTTACAATTTGTTGAAGTTAAAGTTTGTTCTTTTCGTTTTCTTCTTTATTAATTCATTGATCTGTTGTATGATTGAATATCTGATTTGGTTTTATTAAATCATGCATCTGTTGAAACTTAAATTTTCATTTAATTGAATTATTTAAGAAACTGTAGTGGGGTCTTTCAACCCCTGGCGCCCAACCCACTTTATTAGCCAAATACCGCTACAAACATATAAATATAAGTCAAAGTCAGCTTTATTGTCAATTTAACCACATGTACAGGAAACACAAAGAATCATATTGTGTTACTCTCAGACCCAGGTACCTAACATATAATATTACAACAAGTAGAAATGTAAAAATAAATTACCATAAATTCATATGCACATATAATATCATCTAAAAATGTAGGCAAAAATAAAATATTGTAAACAATACATTTACACTTAAGTGCCCATATAAGCAGTTTTAAACTGATTCTGATACTACTCTTCTGCAAATAAGATCAATAAATGTCCTGTTAAATCTTGCAGACTTTTGAACAAGATTACTACACTACAAAATTACCATGAAACCACCAAAATAAGGGATTTTACATCAAATGCTGAAAACAAGTTAAACCAGATGAATATATTATCATTACAGCTGTCAAATGATTAAAAAAATTAATGTGATTAATCACACTTTTTTTGTAATTAATCATGATTAATCACAAAACGGCATATTTATTACACACTGAAAAAATATGCTAGATTTACTTAAGAATATAGTGCATGATTTTTGCATCCCTCTTTTTAAGCAATTTACACATGAAATTTAAAGCAATATTACCTAAAAATCTATAGTTGGTGATGCTTAATTTTAGCAAATGGTTTTGCTCAAATTTATTGGTTGGTGTAACTTAATATTTTAAGCATTTTTTGTTTACAAATTTAAGCTATTTCTATCATTAAAGTTCTGTTTACCCAATTATAAAATCTTAAGCTAATTTAACTGAAAATGTTTAGTTCTTTTAAAGTTTGAAATACTAAGTCACTTATCAGTTAACTTACAATTAGCTATACATTACAAAGGGTGGAAAAACACAGATAGGATTAAAGAACTTCTTTATTAGACAAATGCATCTTAAAACATTTCCTGAAAACATTTTTAGGTGTTCAAAAAAACACAATTTTTTTTTACAAATGTACTGCTTTAATAGAAAGAATAGTTCAAAAACAGTTTCAAGAGTATTCTTAAAAGTAGCGTTCAAACCTGTGCTTGTGAAACACTGAACACTTGCCTCACAGCAAGAAGGTCGCTGGTTCATTTGTTATTTTTCCCCGTGTTGATGTGGGTTTTCTCCGGGTGCTCCGGTTTCCCCCACAAGTCCAAAGACATGCAGTTTAGGTAAATTGGGTAGGCTAAATTGTCCGTAGTGTATGTGTGCGTATGGTCACAGTTTTTGGTATGTCCTCTCCAATGTCCAGCTGGTCCGTTTCCCCACAGGTGTCCTAAAAACAATACAAAATGTATATTATGCATCAGTTCATAAAAAAATAAAAAGGCACAGCCAAGTAAAAAAGGGGGAAAAAGTAAGAAACTGAAAAAGACAATCAGAACCTGAAAATTAGAACTTTTCTTCAGTAGAACAGTAAAGAAAATAAACTTAAACTGTGGTCTTCGTTCACTAACTTTCATCTTACTAGCATCTAACTCTTCATGCTAACTAGCATTTTATTAAAGACCACAGATGCTTTGGTTCCAAATTTTCTTTACTGTTCTACTAAAGAAGAAAAAAAGTTACCCACATCTTCGATTGGCTGGGGTGATTTAAAAAACAGGAAATTTTCATTTTTTGTTGAACCTAATTTAAGATGACTAAAATCACTCAAATATAAAAAAAAGTTTCTCTTTCTAAATTGACATTTTACATGCTTAATTGTATTTTCAGGTTTGCAATTAAAACCTTCTACAAAATTCATTTGAAAGTGAACTAAATTAACTACATTCACTAACCAGGTAATGTGTAATCAGCTTCTCGAGGTTCTCAGACAGGTACACAGTCAGACAGCATATCACCACCTCCCAGAGAATGTCCACACTGTGAGTGCAAATAGAAAAAATATATAAATAAATTGTAATATTTTAAAATGCATTACATGGTAGAGATAATGAACATCTAAAATTTAAATGCAAAAACAGGCAAGCAGAATTTTCAGTAAACAATACCTGCTCCAGCAATTTCATCACATCACAGATTTTGCATCCTGCACTTCCCCCCTTTTTGTGAAATAAATGAACGAGCTGTTCTGTGTAATTGTCCAAATTTTCAATGAAGGTAGACTCCACATCAGCAGCCGTCAATTCTTTGAATTCTTCTTTGATCTTAAAAAAAGAAAATTAACAAATTTTACTTATATTAACTTATAAATATACTTTCATTATTAATTTAATCGAAAAAACAACACAAAAACAAACAAACAAAACAATAAAACTTTTAAGTTTTCAAAAGTCAAGCGGTACTGAAATTTTTACAAAGAGAGTATACCACACTGTTAGACCTTACTGGGATTTTTTTTTACAGTAGAATACTGGCAACACTGTTGCCAGCTACTCACTGTAAAAGTTCGGTAACAGTAAGTAACTGGCAACAGTGTTGCCAGTTATTTACTGTAACTGAACCATTACAGTGAGTGGCTGGCAACAGTGTTGCCAGTTAATTACTGTAATAGAGCAGCAGTGGTAACTAACTGGAAACTGTGTACAGTTAATTACTGTACTGTAGTGTTACAAATCACAGCATTATACTGCATAAACATTAATAGTATGTCAAATATAGTTATTGTAGTGTTACTAAAATTAATCAGTATTCTTAGCTGTTATTTAAAAATAGAAGGCATAACATTTTTTTCAAACAAATTTATTTTATTGTTTTGGCACCAAACAAATAAATAACAGAAAATGTATAACAAAATTAAGAAATAAGCAGATATAAATATTTTCTTACATATTACAGGTCTGCACAGTAAGTCTGCGGTCACACTAACGTTTGAGCATGCAAAATTCCGTCATACTGCACTGCGAAGTGGAATTAAACAAAGCGAGTAGTGGAATTAAACAAAATAATTAGAGATTGAAAAAGCAAGCCAGAGAGGTCATGTTTTGATCTTTGATTGGTCTCAAGCAATCACATGATGTGATTTTGCATGTCAGTTTTCTCCAAGCTTGAACTTTCCAATGCTGCGAATTATGAAATTTGTCGCATGGGCTAGCATTCCAGGTCTGCAGTACTCACATGAGTATGAATGGAAGTCTGTAGGGAGAAAAGTGCAGTGTGACCGGGACTTTAAGCTGTAACTCTAATTAAACACACATGATCAAACTAATTAAGGCTTGTTAGAAATCTACAGGTAATGTTGAAGCAGGGTGGGTACTAAACTCTGCTGCGCTGCAGTTCTCCAGGAACTTGGAGTTTGACCCCCATGTTATATAGCAGGGGTGCACAATCCGGTTCCTGGAGATCTACCTTCCTGCAGATTTCAGTTGCTACCCATATCAAACACACCTGCCTGTAATTATCAAGTGGTGTTGAGGTCCTAATTAATTGGTTTAGGTGTGTTTGATATGGATAGCAACTGAAATCTGCAGGAAGGTAGATCTCCAGGAACCGGATTGAGCACCCCTGGTATAAAGCATACTTTTAAAGCAACTGCCAACATTTATCACAATCACATATCCAATAAACACACACATGCACACACACACGCAAACACACAAAGTGCTGCAGTGAAATGTGTTACTCTCTCCTCAATGCTGACCATGCAAAAAAAAAAAAAAAAAAAAAAACTGAACAGCAAAAAACACAAAATTATTATTTTAGATTTTAAAGTTTTAAATAATTAAAAACTGTGTCAAATCTCAATAAAAAGTTTAAAATAATTATAAAAAACAAAAATAAAGTTGGCAACACAGAAAAAACAATTTATTGTTATAATTATCTCATGACAACAAACTTTTTTATTGTTTCTAATATAAATTCATAGGTGGAAGCACAGCTCTGAAAAATACTTAGCAACAAACTCACAACCTGGGACCGGAAAGTGGAGGTTTTGTGTGTGGATGGCTATGTGTATCATGTTTTTGTGATTCCCTGTGATGATGTGCACATGTTACCTTACTGAGATGATGGAATTTAATTTTGGCTTAGTTGCCAGAAAGATACATACAACTTTTAGCATCTGTACATTATGGCAGTATGCAATATTCAATAAATACTTAAACAAAAGTAATGTAAGAAGTTATATGAGGAGAGGCTAACTAGCTATCAATGTAGCTTTCAAGTACACAGTTCAAGATAACAACAATATAACTTGAAACACAGACTTATTTTAAAAACCCTCAAAAACATTTGAACACATTTTACTTACTTACTGTAGATTCTTATTTAAAGCCTAAAACATATCAGACTCTACATCTGAATTGATGGACAGAGAATAGAGCGCACTCAGCAGTAAACAAATCAAACACCTGGCTCCCTTAAAGGGCCAGCATTTTCTGAAAATTCTTTCTAACACCTTTGTGTTTAGAATAAGACGGACAGCCTGTGGGAGTGTGTGGTGATGCCTAAATCATTGTTTTCTGCCTTTAAAATGCACGTCTCTATAAATAGCAACATAGTAGTAGATGGGGCAGTAATGGTTGAACAGTAATTTACCATTTATTATCACAGTAACTATCTGTAATGGGTACATAAGGTAAATTACTGTATTTATTCTTTGCACTACAAAATTTCATACAACTCCTGCTCCTTTTACAGTAAAATACTGTTTCCTTTTATTACAGCAAAACACTGGCTATTTTACAGTTATTTACTGCATAATCTACAGTAATGGTTAACAGTGCAGCATATCCCACCATATTCACATGCTCAACAGTGTTTGGCCACAATGATAATCGTTTAAAGCTCAGTAAAAAGCATCTTAACAGATACAAACAGGAGCAGATATATAATAGATCAGCTGACAGACCTGGCTTCAAACACTTCTGTGTGGATCAGAGTTAACACGTTGTGTTGAGTTAAGCATGGTCATTTATTAAAAGCGTCCATTCGTTATTCTGTTATAAGTGCCATCTAAACATTTAGACATGCATTATTTATAAGCAGGCATAAGGAATATCATCTAACATTTGTAATTACTTACCAAAAGATGAACAGCCTTCTCCCGAGCTGATTTTCCAAAATGGACTCCTCAAATTGTGCGCTGTGGTACAGCGTCACGTGATAATCTGATGATCCTAAAATATTGGGTTCAATTGACTAAACCTCAAATTATTGCTAACTTTACTAAAAAATTGCTAGTTGTTTTTCTTTATTAAATAAAACAGTGAAATCAATATTTTATGTTACATTTGTAGTTTAAAATTAAGCAATGTCCAAAACTAAACTTTTAAGTGAAATTTGTTTAAATGAGCCATATTTACTGTGGCTGGATATCATTTTTTACAGTGTAGTTAACCTAGTTAAGCTAGTTAAGCCTTTAAATGTCACTTTAAGCTGTATAGAAGTGTCTTGAAAAATATCTAGTCAAATATTATTTACTGTCATCATGGCAAAGATAAAATAAATCAGTTCTTAGAAATCATTTATTAAAACTTATGTTTAGAAATGCATTGAAAAAAATCTGCTCTATGTTAAACAGAAATTGAGGAAAAAATAAACTTCAACTGTATATTAAAAATAAAAAAACTTAGATATATTATAGGTTGTATATAAAATTACATTTATATATATATATATATAATTTTATATACAACTAAAACTATAATATATATAATTTTATTTATTTTTTTAAAAAACATACACAGATTCAAAGAGAACCACAAATCAACAGGGAGACTGCAAAAGAACAGCTTCTACTTTAAACTGGACTGACTGAAAATCTACTATTAAATATATCAAAACTATACAGACAAATGTAAAATAAAGTTAAACACCCTAAATCTGTTGAAACGAGTCGATCTGATGGCAGTTGAGATTGCAGGATATTATTGGTCTGAAGCTCATGTCCAAGTTTATTTTACATTCTATGGTAGAAACATGCATTGAGCCTTGCTAGATCCTCCTGTGGTGCACGTCTCTTATTAAACACTCACAGGACATTAATTTAGACAACTATGCAGATGTATTAAATAGTTCACAAAAAATACACAAAGAGAGACTTTCACTTTCACTTCACGCATAGTTTGGGATTGAACAGACATGCGTAAAGCAGTTATAGACGCGATTGAGCTGTTTTTGCGCTTGTTTTGAGTTTGAAGTGATCCATTAGAGAACAGGAGAAAGCGCATGACTTCCATCATTTTAATATAGCATACTATAATGAAAGCCAAAAAGTTATAGTATAATATTGAGAGGTCATATCGTGGCCTACCTGCAGGGTTGCTGAGGCTCACTAGTGGGCTGCGGCCCTTTGGTTGAGAATCCCAGACCTATATGCTATAATATTGCACGATAACTATGTCTGTATACAATAACATAAATTTGATTGTTACTTTGACTTAATCTGATTGTAATACAGTAATGTGCACCTTTTTTCAAGCTGATTTGAAATAATTATTGTAAAAAGTGCTGTACAAATAAACCTGACTTGAATTGAACAGTTGGTGGACAGCTGTATACTTTGGGAAGTCCTGCTGCTGCTGCCGGGCTTCTAGAGCACCTACAGGCCAGAGACTGGATCTCTTCTCACCTGCTCTGAACTCAACACTGATGCAGCACCAGGTGGGAACTTATTCACTGTCACTCAGTGCTTTTAAAAAAGCTTTTGGTTACCTTTGGATTAAGCCTGTTTCACACATAGCCAACTAAAATACCTTCATTGTAAAAAGAAGTCAAAATTATTCACACATCTTTTCCCCACAGGATGTTTAACTGAAGATTTTTCACAGTATTTCCGATAATATTTTTTCTTCTGGTCTTTTTTTTTTTCAGCTACAATAAAAGCGAGTTTTTAGTTCTGTTGAGCAATAAGTTATGTAGATATTAAGTGTAACATACACTATATCAATAAAAACATAAGGCCGGTAATTTTAAACAAAAAGAAAACAATGTACTTGCGAATGGCTTACATGTTTTCATTATTTTTTATTTATGACAATGTGAACTCAAATCTGACTTTATATCTCTCCAGTTACAGGCTTCAGGCATGAAATGTGTGAAAAAGGCTGAATAAAATGTAGAGATCAGTTTAAAATGAATAACAATAAGCTGTTTGTCTCTTCAGGCTGAGAATCATCAATAATGCTGCTGAAGATCAACAGGTTTCTCTCACTTGTCGAATGTCTTCTTTCAGGTAATGATCCTGCTGTTTCCATCATTCAGCATGTTTAGTGAGATCCAGAAGTAGATTCTGTTGTTTTGTCATTGCAGATTGTGGAGGAAGCTCCTACAAGAAGCTTGAGTTTGATCCAGAATGGCTGGCCATCTTGAAAGCGACAGACAACCTTCAAAAACCATCCGCCAGTTTCTGGAACCCTCTGTTGGACAACACAGCAGACACAAAACACATAACAACGATTTACTGATAGCTTTCTGATACTGTACCCTTTTCACAAGCCTGACGTGTTTAGCTGTCTTCGGCATCTGAAATCCTTAAAAGTTTTTAACATTTTGATTTAAAAAAAAACAAATGAACATTTATATGTGTTTATGAATGTATCATATCATCTTGCTTCGAATTACAAAAAATGAATTGTGCAATGTGTTTTCAATGCAGCGTCTACGAGGCTGAGAGTAAAATGAACGCTATTCTCTCCTCTGGCTGCTGTCATCAGTCCCACACTAGTTTTTTCCTTTTCTGAAAGTCTTTATAACACCATTGTGGAGTTTGTCTGTTATTATTTTATTAAGTTATTTGTTGTACTCACTCTCCCATTCACTGCGCTCTAAGTTTTCCCTACTATGATGACAGAAATGTGAAAAGGGTCTATTGACAACTTTGGCTTAAAAGAATAGTTCACCCGAAAATGAAAATTACCCCAACATTTACTCCATCATACAGTATACCCTCAAGTCAGACTCAGGTCAGGTGTATAAATGTTTATGGGGGGATTTTTATTTTTGGGTGACATATTTGTTTAACTCGTTCATCCCAGTAGATGTAACACATTTACATGACATGCGCAATAAAATAAGGTCAAATTACTGTATTCATCTGAACTGAGGTCACGATAGTCAGTACTTTACGCATGAATTAATTTCTATTTCTAAGTAGTTTAGCATCCTGTTCTTCTTCTTTCAGGTGGGACTGCAGTCCTTCAGACAGACATCTACATCCTGGTGGGCAGAGCGGACAGGCTTACAGGGAGAAGATTTTCAGCTTTCTTTGTTAACTAGAAATTTCAGAAGAACTGCATTTATCAGAATTAAACATGCAAGACATTTTAAATGACTTTATTGTCACATTTGCTCAAGTTAAAATATCCTTGTTAAATAAAACTGTTCATTAAAAAAAGAAAGAATAAAGTCAATAATTCTGCTTGCTCCAAGCTATTTAATATTGTAATATAATGCTACAAAAGCTTTTTTATTTCAGGTTTATCAGCTATTTGAATATTTTAATCATCAAAGAATCCTAAAAAAAATCAAATGCTAATAAATATTGATAATATTAGTAATGATAATAATAATAATAATAATAATAATAATAATAATAATTGGACTGTTTTTGCTGTGCTTTGGAGCAAATGCAGGTTTGGCGAGCTGAAGAGACTTCTTTAAAAAGTTAGCTTAATAGAAAGTGGGTTTTTCCTATAAAAAAAATTATTGTCAAAAAAAATAAAAATTAGATTTTAATAATTTTAGATATTGTAAATTTCTCTGGTAATTTGTCATTATTATTGTTTTATTTTGTAAATTAGAAGTATAGTATAGTATCAGGATTTCAGACATGCTCATTTTAGTCAACACGATACTAATGTTTTACAGTAGCTTTAGAGGAGTTACAGTAAGTAGTCAGTTTACTAACCTTGCTTTTCAGTCACAGTTCATTTTTCTGACAGTGGCTGATTAAAAATGCTCTAAATGACAATATTTTTATTTGAAATGTTGAAGAAATGTTATCAGACTGTATTTAAATGGAATTATTATCATTATTATAAATAAAGACCATTCATTATTATCATTAAATATAACATCAAACCAAAATACAAAGTAAAACAAATGTAACTAAAATTTAAATAAATAAATAAATAAATAATAGTAAAAAATAAAACACTTTAAGCAAATATTTTGGGTTTAAGGGGTACAACTAAGAGTTGTGATTCCTTTATTAAATGACAAATTTATGCATGGATCACTAAATATTTTCAGAATCAATAAACTATTAATTTTACTGCCGCTTTTTACATTTTTAGAGGTTAAAACAGCCCATTGTGCTGCTCGATGCTCTGATATTTAATTATTAAATCATTCTACTTTGTCTGTATAGTCATGTACACACACTGGTAGTTTCACCGCTTTCTGCCTTTTATTATTCATATGTATTTTTTCCATAAGGAACTGAATCAGAAGCGCATTGCAGAATAAGATCAATAGTGTTGTCCCTTGAGAACACATGTTAAAATACAAATTTTTGTGAGACAATGAATACAGTAATTATTACTAAATATCATGCACTTGCTTGGTTATTGATAATGAGGAAACATATAGACACATAAAAAATATGCCATGTAGGCTCGGCTCGGATGAAAAACACGGAAGAGGAACCAGAATGAAGGAGAGGACCAGAGAGAGACCCAGCGCTCCTGACAGAACCCAGCACAGTAATCCCTCTGGTTCCAGCTGAACGCACAATACACACAACCGTCAACAAGATCACACACACACATACACACACACACACACACACACACACACACACACACACACACACACCATCAGTCTTAAACTGAAATTTTAAACATTCACAGGTTAACACAACCCAGCCCACCCCTGCTGTGGCTATTGTAAGGTAGTGTTTTGGAACTAATTACCAATGTTTTAAGGACGCACACATTAATTTAAGTCCTTAAAAAGTGATTATATAAACGGGTCGCATCACCACACACACGCACTGTTAAAGGGGCTGCCACGCCACTGCTAACGTGAGCAGACTTCTGACGTGGAAATGTATGACGAAGTTCAAAAGTAAAAAATATAATAAAGAAAAACGAGGACAATATTTATTTTTTAGGTATATGGGGCTTCTATGGTTATGCATGATTATTAAGATATTTTCTGTATTTAGTAACATTTAACAAATACTGTACTGTAAACACAGCTTTTGCTGCTCTAATTGACTTAACGCTGAAATCAATTAATGTTTACATTTAAATGAGTCTCGTCGTCATTCTGTCACCATGGCAACTTGAATTGGTTTAAACATCCTCACAACTGTCTATAAAGTAATCAGTGCTGATCATCGCGCTACAAACTTCTGCACAAATCTCCCTTGGCAAAGTTTCAGCAGTTTGAGAAGTGTTTGAAGTTGTTCGTGATGACTCTGCGGCGCTCGAGAAGAACCAGGACGCGCCCCGGGCACCTGAAGGACTTCCTGCTGGAGCGCGTCTCTTCCTCTGAGGAGCCAGCAGCGGCGGCCAGGCCGGACACCTGCAGCTCGTCGGACCTTTCCCTGGAAGAGAGGTACCTGAGGAACGCGGCTGTTCTTCCTGTCCTCCGTCCCGCAGCATCAGTCTCCTCCTCAGCGGGTGAGTGTCCACAGGAGGAGCCCCTCTCCATCCACGGTCGGAGTGTGCGGGACTTTCAGCAGATCTACTGCAGTGTGATGGGCTCCACCAAGAAGAGACGCGCTAGCCGATACAGCCTTCAGCAAGGACTCGAGATCAAGCAGCGGCTCTGGGAGAAGCTGGACCGGCCTGCACTGCTGGAGACCGAGCAACCAGATGGACGTGTGATCATCACGGAGAGCAGGTCCGAGTCCAGCGTCGCTCCTAGATTCAGGGTGGACATCAGCAGAGAGCCACTGCCCAAGGAGCCCCGGAGGAAGAAGCCCAGGCACTGAGCCATACTAGTGCCAGATGAAGGATCAAGGGCTCGTATGTACATACTGTATATATTGTATATAGTTATAGAATAAGTTTGCATGACATAAAATTTTACTTTTCATTCAAGTTTTATCACATTGCTGGATGTTTTGGTGACGGTCAGTGCTGCTGATATTCGGCTCTCAGGTTGTTGGGTTCTTTTGGATGGTTTGCTGGATGTTGACATGCGTTAAGCAAGGTTGTCTAGGCGGTTTCTTGTGTGTTGCTGGTCTCCTCTAAGTGGTTTTTGGCACATTAGTGGTTGTTAGTTGTTAGTGTTGGCTGTTGGGTTAGGGTAGGTTAGGGTCCCTCACACGGTTTGCAGCTTGACGTGCTGTGAGGGCTTGTGTGCATCAATGATGCTGAAAGCTACGCCACTGGTACTTCACAGCTACCGGTAGGGTCACCCATAGTGGACAGGTCTCAGCTGAGATGCCCGACCAAGGCAAACCACCTGATTCTTGACAGCAGGAGATGACAGCCTGATGCTCCAGACAGAAGATGCCACCTGAATGGCCAAAAGAAACTACAAAATCACACACACAAACACACACACACACGCACACACACACAAACACACACACACACGCACACACACACACACACACACACACACACACACACACACACACACACACACACACACACACACACACAGACATATATATATATATATATATATATATATATATACAGAGATGTATAAAGTACTAGAGACCCATACTTAAGTAAAAGTACAAGTGCTCTATCAAAAAGTGACTTGAGTAGAAGTAGAAGTGCTCTTTAATCACCATACTTAAGTGGAAGTACTAAAGTATTCAACATTTTTAGTACTTAAGTATTGCAAGTAGTTTATTTCAAAATTTACTACTCAAGTACTGAAAGTAAAAGTACAAGTATTGTGTAATGTAGTTATTAAAGAAGGCAGTCAAAAGACATCATATTGTTTTGTTTATTTTAAATATCTTTGGGGCACTTGATTAAGCAGAATGAAAAGAAACATGGCTTATGGTACTGTTTTTCTCTGTAAATAATTTCTATGGTACAAGAACTCACATCGTCAGGCTCGTTTACCAGAAAATCACTTCACTGATGAGATAATTCAGCATGTTCATTCATACTCTCTCTCTCTCTCTTTTACACACACATAAACACACACCTAAATGTACCCTCTCACACATTCATACACTCTCACACACAGTTCTCTCTCTATCTCTCTCTCTCTCTCTCACACACACAAACACACACACACACACACACATTTTTGTGAATTGTGGGGACATTACATAGGTTACAATTGTTTTTATACTCTACAAACTATACTTTTGAATGCTCTAACCCCAAATCCAATCTCTAAACCCAACCCTTACAGGAAATTATGTGTAGTTTTACTTTCTGAAAATAAAAAAAATATTTAGTGTGATTGAATTTTATACATAATGTCCACATAATTCACATTCATAATTCATAATCTCCTCCTAACATCTGTGTAATACCGATGTTGTTATACATATACATGGGCACACACACACACAAACACGAAAATACACTCTTTTACACTCTCATACACTCTCTCTCTCTCTCTCTCTTACACACACACACAGACGCACACACAGGTACAATCACACTGTTTCTCTCTTACATGCATTATTCACTCACACTTTGGTAGTTTTGAAGTTTGATTGGTTAATACCAAAATAAACAGGAGTTTTGTCTTTTGGAAGCAGTCGTGAAACTAAACTAAACAAGCAAACTAAATCCTGTTGCACTAATTCACTTGATTTTGATTTTATTGTAAAAAAAGAAAAGAAAAGAAAAACAGGAAAGCGTGTATAGTACTGTGTTAAAAGAAAATCTAAAATACTTTATGGCTTATGGCTATGGTTTAGTATTAATTTTTTAAATTTTGATTATGTTTTAATTAAATTGGTCTGGCACTTCATATGTTCTGTAGTATATTTATTAATTCTGGTACTTTTACCATAAACCAACTTCTTAACCAGTTGGTAGAGGCTGATATTTTAGAAATTATGGGATGTGTTGAGAAAAAAATTCATTGACTGTGTTAAATAGCGACATTATGAGTTAAGAAATGCAATAAAAAAAATCTATTGCTTTTGTCTT